TACAGACAATGCAAGCCTTAGGCTGTGTTGATGGCGCACATTGCGTGTTCATTTGTTTGCAACAGCACAGCTCCAGCTCCCACTGTAAAAGCACATCGCAATTCGAAACCTGAAGGCACGATGCTGGGTGCGAGAAACACCGTTTCCGATGCAGGCAAGTTCTCATCAGCAATCGCAACAAACTTTCCGCACCTACCTCATGATCCTAAATGACTATCCTGGTGGCAGGATGCACTGGGGAATCTAGGCGCGGTGTGCAGTTTGAAAGACCGGTCTGCACAAGGCGTGCTGTAGCTGCATTGCCAGATTCTCTCGGTGACGAAGCGAAGCTGGTTCGACACAGGAGTCTCAAAACAGCAGGAGGACTATTATGCGTTTCAAAGCATGAGTAGCGAAGCCGTAGTTTTGAAGAGGCAAACACGAAGCGCTTCGAGAAGCGCCCAAATATTGACATTGTCTGTCTTGTTCGCCGAAGGCTGTATTCAGGGTCGGTGCGCACTGCAGAAGCCACTCAGCAAGAGACTGTTCAACTAAAGCTCGTGAGGAAGCACCGACTGTTCAAGCTGAACTATGGTTCGCAAACAATAGGCAGGGTGGTCCTTCCGTTGGTACTTAAGATTGTGTTTCCCGTTGTGTCGCTGTCAAGCATGAAGCGCGGCTCTAAGGTTTCCCAACATCAACCCTTATCGGCAGCCGTTCTACTCTATGATTCAGCTCACCGACCCCTACCTGAATCTCTTCAGGCCTGCTTGCGTGGACCCACATCGAAAACTGCAAGCGGGCAAAGTGGTCCCTTTTGGACGAGCTTGTTTGGAATAATGTGTGCTTCCCCTTTAAAGCGTATGCCAAAGCGGTCCCTCACAAGGTCGCACAAGGAAACTAAGGTGGATATTGGAGTGTATTTTGTTTCTTTTTTTGGTTGGGGGGGGAGAAAGTGGGTCGCCCAATCTCCCAGCCAACAAGCTACCAAAAGCAGGGCTAGTTGAATGAGGTGTGTCCAGGAGTCCACTTGGTTCTACCATCGTCGCAGTGCTAAACATTAATAAACCAAGGAGGTACGCGATTCAACCACCAACTGCCAGCACCAGCTTGCAAACAGCAGTGGGTGTTGCTTTTCCGACAATGTTTGCATTCGACTCACAACTTCCAGGAAATGCCGCCTGACCTTGAGCAATGAAGAACCCAGCATGTTTTAAGCTACAGGCCTTTTGACATGAATTGGCGGCCAGACGCCATGAACATTGATTGCATATTGCAGGTGTTTGTCCAGCTTGTGGATGAGTGTGTTGGTCACACCATTTCTGTCATGGGAAGCCAGTTCAGGTCATGATCCCTTGTAGATTCGCAACACACTGCTTCATGTTCATGTTCCGCTACCGAGAGTTAATTGATGAAATAGCCACGACCTGTGGTTTCTAAACGGCACAAGGTGTATGACGTCTTGCTTACCTTTTCCAGGGTTGGAAACGCAAAATCCCCACAAAGCTGATTGAAACAGCCAGTGGTTCAAGCACGTGGAAGCTAGGGGTTGGCCTAAGCCACGCCATAAAAAACTTTCTCTGATCCTTCGCTTCGTAGAATCCACCCCTCTTCCCTAGCAACCCATACCCCCTGCTGGTTTTTCGCCTTGGGTCAGGAATCTGTGAGCTCCGAAGCCTGAAGCTGCTGCTGTTTCCCCTCCGATTCTTAACCTGGAGGGGAAGGCGGGCCTTTTTGGTCTGCGGGAGGCAATGCAACGAACATAGTAAAACATTTGTTCAAAGAAGCCACCTATCAAGTCAAAAGAAACCAAGGGAGCACAAAGGGGCTAAGGGACAGGCTTGGATCCTACTTGTATGGCCAGGGGTTGGATGCCGCCCATCTTCGGCATTGACCTTTCGGTCATCCTGGCCTTTGTGGTGATACAGGCGGGGCGCTTGCTTCACCGTTTCGCGCTCACATGGACAAAGCCACGGTTTGCCGCGAATCCCCACAACCGCAGGCGTTTCCCGGACCTCCAGTGGTAAAAGCTTGTTTCGTTTCTTTGTCGATCAACTGCCAAAGGTGCTCTTTTGGCCCTGGTCACTTGAGGTCTGGGTTGTGGACCCCAAGTCCCTCGCTCTCAAGCAAGAACAAAGCGAGCTCATGCGATTCTTGCATTAAGAATTATCTTCAGGGATCTGCTTCAGGCAATGTGCAGGTATTCAACATGGGAATCAGAGAAAGCCTTTGTCGGATCCCTTCAATTAGTAGTTCTCATGTTGTGCCGCCAGAAAAAGAGGGCATCCCAAAGTTGGTTGCCATTTTGTTTACATTACCTGTGTTTCTCACAGCTCCTTGAAGGATATGTCCAACAACTACCTGATTTGTGGAGGAGCTGGTAAAGGTGATTTGTAACCTAGCCCAATTGTGTCCCTTCAGGGAGCAAGAGGGCCAAGCGACCGTTTGCGACCTTCATGAAGAATCTACTTCAAGTTGGTCAAGTATCATGATTCACCCTGGTTGACATATGTTTGAGCCGCTATTGTGTTTAAGCGACCTTCTTTTGGTTTCCCTTTGAACCCCCAGTGCGCCACAGCTTAAAGCAAGGCTAAGATGGGTCTGTTACGGTGCTCTTTCGCCTTGCCAAACAGCGAAATGCCTGCCATGCCTCATCAGTATATTGTCAAAATACGCCGGTCGCCCGTGTGTATCTTTCTGAGGGGTTGTCAAATACCGATCCAATGCGTTGCCCCCTTTGCAATTCAAAGCAGCAACATGTATATTTTGAGAAAAGACAATGTTCCGCTTTCTGAGTGCAGGGATGTCTAGGTTCATAGGACAAACTGGGAAGAACAACCCTGGCGAGCGTGTCCAAGTCCTGCGTGCTCGCTGGTAACATGGGAGACATCACCAAGGGCAGGTAGGAATTGTGATCATTTTGTTGGTTGTGAGTCTGAACAGACTGGTTGAGCACCACTCCGTGTTCTTTCAGTTGAAGCAGGCGAGCCCCATGTTGCCCAGTCTGCGTTGGCGGTTATATACCTGGGGTGTATTGCATTCCGAGAACGTTCAGATGTCAACAAGACCCCCAGTCTGAAGCACTACACGTTTGGCTGAGCATTGGAGCTTCCGTAGGGAGAACCTTAGAAGTGGTTGGTGGACATAAATCCCCATGACCACCAAAGAGGTTCCAATTGAAATATACCCACCATATACCCACATGTGCCATGGTCAAAAGAACGGGATCGTTGTCACTGTTGTCACCCCCGAAATGCTAGGTAGAGTTATTAGACTGCCATGGCAACGATTCCTTTTTAGGGAATCCATGGCCGCGAGTTTTGACCATGGATGGATCTGTCGAGCCAACACGTTCTGCCAGTCCGTGATTGATGGGTTGACCGTCAGCCCCTTCTGAGCTCGCACGCGGGGCTTCGGGCTTCGGGCTAAGCGCCCCGGGGCGCTTGTGCGCCGCTTTGGCCCTGTCCGGGGCCATCGACAACGGCTGAAAAAGTACCCCGCGCCTTTTCGTTATGTAAGGGGCCGTCCCTTAACTTGTTTCGCAGGCCAACACCATTGTAAACCGATACAGAGGAAGAAAAACCGATACCCCCAGAAGCCATGAAGACACACATCAGGTCCAAGTTGTCGTCGCAAGCCAAGATCGCGGAATCATAAATTTGCAGGGCCCAAACCGATACCCAAGCCGATACCCAACCGATACCCAACTCAGTGGCCGCCACGCCGAATCCAACCAGCTGCCCTGCAGCCTTCCCTGGAGCTGCCAAAATGCACTTTGTGTACCACATTTGTACTGAAAATCTTACTTGCACTGAAAAGCTGCGATTTTCGAGCCGGAGCTGCCAAAGTCTACTGCGCATACTACTGAAAAGTTGCGACTTTCCAGCTGGAGCTGCCAAAATGTACTTTGCGTGCTACACTTGTACTGAAAAGTTGCGACTTTCCAGCTGGAGCTGGGAGCTGGCAGAGTGTACTTCGCAGACTACACTTGTACGGAAAGTCACGACTTTCGAGCTAGAGCTGCCAAAACACTGCAAACCGATGCAGAGGAAAAAACGATGCTGACCGATACTAGGGCATAAGGATACAAGGGTTGTCCACGGGGTTGTTTTTTCAGCCCACATGGGAGGCGCTCAGCCCAGCCCTGGCTGGGGTGGCGCCTTTTTGTGGATGCATCAAACCCTTTGCAGTTTAGGGTAGCCTGAACATGCCGTGTTTTGTTTGGAGTGATCCTTGAATATTCACGCAGGCAGTTCTACAGTCAGGACTTGGTTACTTTCGTACAACTCGACCTTGATTCAATGGCTTTATCGGCCTAACTGCAAAACCACCGAGACAACAGCGCAGGCGACTTCGCCTTTTTGGGGACCGTGCTAGGCTTAGGTCCGCCGGATGCAGCCAGCGGTGTGCTGGATAGTGCGGCAAAGTGAGGTTCAACGGCGATAGGCGCGGAGACAAAAATATCAATCTCAGGCTGCCAAAGGCTGAGGTCGCGCGATCTTCAACCGAAACCGGCTGCTTCCCAGGATGGAAACACGCAGAACAAATGCTGATGAACACATGCTCACAAACACAGAGACACACATAGACTCATTGACCGGCATGCACATACACGCATACACACACACATAAATGGCAAGGAAGCGTGGACTTTGAAAGGGATCGGATCCATTGATGGTCAAGATATGGCCCTAGCCCGGTGGGCAACTGTGACTGTCGGTTGTGTCGGTTGTGTCGGTTGGCTTTGTTTATGTTTTATGTTTGTTGTGTTTGTTGTTTGTTTGGTGTCCATGGTGGGTTTGGCGGTGTTTGATGGCAGCACTCTTCTGAGCATGCCAGAAATCATTAACGTGCAAGAGGCCTTGAACAAATCCGAAGAGACTTAATGAAAGGACGCCAACAAGACTTGGCGAGAAGCTGCTGTTGCTTCTGAACTGTGTCTGAAAAGATTAAGGGTGTCGGACGGTCCTCCCCGCCTGCTGCATTTGACGTGGCCCAAACAGCTTAGTGCAGATTAAACGATGGCAGGCCAGGTGGAGTGGCTAGCGTGCCAGACACGACTACGTGACGGGCCCATTTTGTTTTTTTGAGATTGCGACCGGCCATGCTTGGCAGACGTCAAGCACTTACTTCTAGTTCCAAGAAGAACCTGTTGCATGCTTGCTTGTTGGCTAGGTTGGTTGCGTGCAATCCAACCATGGATTACGCAGTGCTAGCAAATGTTTAGTGTTGTTCATGTTTAAGTTGCCTACAGCTGCATGCACTTGTTCACCGTTCTTGGCAGTCAAGCACAGCAAATGCGTCGGACGGGGTGATCACACAGCGAGCCAAAATTAAGTTCCACCGCATGCAAATTCTGTTTTGTAGTCCTGGTGCGTGAAACATATTGAAAACGGACAAATTGGGATTCAGTCCCAGTTTGTGAGAAAGCCAAGTATGTCTGGTTGAACTTCTGGCAGCCACTGTCAGCCTGCAGCTTGGTTTCTGCCTATGAACCTTCGAGTCCAATTGAATGGCGTTCTTGAGACCAACTAATTCATAGGGACCAGCTCAATCAGTTTGGCACCTGTTTGGTTGTTTTGTCTTTGGCTCATCATGGTTCTCTTTGTAGGAACCTCCGCGTTTGTTGTCTAATACCCCCAAGCAAGAAGAGTCTAGGTTTCCCTCTGGGTCATGGTTCCCTTCATAGGAACCTCGTCGCAGGTGAGTCCACCAATGTGCCAGCGAAGCGGAAGATGTCCGACCTCTCCGAGTCCACTGCGGAGGCACAGCTAGAGCTTCCGCCCATCCTTGTCCGTTGGTGTAAGCACCTACGTATACATGTACTATATAAATAGTTTGATGTGTGTTTGTTTTGAGGGTACCCCTTCAAAAAAAGGAGTACAAAGGGAAATCAAAGAACTGTAGTCTTGGGGCTCCCTTAATTTGACACATGTTTTCTTCTGAAAATTAACGTGGAATTGGAGACAACAGAAACAAAAAAAACACGTCCAGGAAAGCACGGAGTTTCCCTTGCACATGTGGGGGTTATCAGGTTCGAAGCTAATCTTTCAGGAGCAGTCTGTTTCCTTGTACTTCACAGCTGCCCATGCCCCGCTGCTGTTCCACATACCGTTGTTTTACTTGTACTGTGTGGCTTCCGTGTGTTTAGTGTTCACGCCCAGGCCAATGCCGACCACTTGCTTCATTCCTGGACACAGAGCCCGGTGGGTTATTTGATCAACGCGCCTGTGTGTGTGTGTACGTGTCTCCACTCTTGCGAACCATAAGCCTGTCATTTGTGTGCGTGCGGCATTTCTGCAATGGTGTTCTAGTTTGCGAGAGCCTTTACGCGTTTGCATGCACACGAGACTGAACCTGAATTTGATATTCCATAAGTTTGCTGCTTTCCAACGAGCAAGACTACAACTCAGACGATGACGAAAGCAACATAAAGTATCATAAATATACAGGTTGAATGCATAATCTTATGCCGGAGTTATGGTATGCAGAGTAAACAACCCTGCGTGATCGGCAACTTGTTGTTGCTGAAAAGCTACCTTGCGACCCAGAAGGGCCGATGGGTTATATAAGAGAATCCTAGATCCATAGATCAAGGACCTTCCTTCCTATGGGCTTTTCCATGAGTAGGGTTATTGGATCACGTTTGCTAGCTATCATTGTGTTTGCCGAGGGAGGATGATGATTTACATCGGAACCTCAACAAGGTGTGGCAGTTTTACAACTTTACCCGCGAGTGTCTTGGTTTCAGTCGCTTGTGAGTGCCCCAAATGCCAGCACACCAACACGCCTTTCGCCAAACAACATGCAGCTCAGCTGCCCATCTCAACCCTCGACCGTGATATTGGCTGTACCGGATGCACACATGAATCATGACTGTTTCATTTTCCCGGCTCATGCTCTTCTTGGCAGAGAGGCTGAAATGCATTCGCTGAGTTGTGTATTTGAGGCAAATGAGAGCTTCAGCACGGACCCTCCTAGGATGAACCACTTCCAAGCTGCTTAGGAAATGCCCAAGATTCAAGATAGCCAGAGACTCCTGTGCTGAATCTTTAGTCCGTTTCCGGGTTGCTTTGGTTTGTTTTTGACAAGGCACATCGAAGTACTTCGGGCTGAAACAGATTGCTCCATACGTACAAGACTATATATATATATATGTGAAAAGTCTAATAAAGTGATATGTGAAGACTCGCATGTACACACACACACACACACGCGTGAATGTTCTTACCAGCTTGCCATGGGTGGCTTGATCCGCTTGGACGGAGAGGATCTCGATTTCTGCGAGTATGTTGTGGACACGCAGCCGCTGCAGATGCGGTGCCCAATCTGCTTGGAGGCACATGCGGGGGGCACTGGGCGTGTAGTACCAAAGTTGAAAACACTTTCCTACACGGAACTGACTGCGCGGTTTGGAAGATATGTGTTTTGTTTCCAATTGTTCTTGTGGGGGAGGGTCAACTTGGCAGTGCATGCTGTTTGTTTGAATTCTGAGTTGCCCAGCCACACAACTTTCCGGGAATGGCCAGCCTTCAGAGGGAAACACATGAATCCTTCGTGCCAATCACGCGGGGCAGCCTGACAATCTGATATTACATGAGGATTCTAGATTCTTGTTCACGGAACAAAGGACAATGTCCATGCCTTTCATGCGAGGAGTTCGATGACTGTGCATTGTTGTTGCGTTTGTATTCACGAACTCGTCCACTTGCATGGTTCATGGCGGGGTTCTCCTCCGACTCTCAGTAGGTCCATGATCCTACGCCCCTTTTAGACTTCCCTGACTATGCCCCGCGCTCCCAAGAATCAGCAGGCCCCCCCCCTTCTTCCACCCCGGCCCCTCCGACAAGATGTGCCACATGTTCAGGCCGGATGCAACTTCATGAAGCAGTTCGGCGGATTGTTTTTGTTCGGTTGAAAACAATATGATAAAATACGGGCATTGCCTTTTCGCGGTTGGAGCTGTCACTCTGGCTCAGGAAATCTGATGTGGGCAACCCAGCGTAGGGTGCGTTCTATCTGAGGCTGTGTCCTCTACCCACCACAATTTGATGACAACTTCAACACAGTTGCCTATACACATCCATACACAAATATCCCGAATATCCTATATGGCAGTTCCATATAAGGGGTATATAGAGGAATGAAGGAGCATACATGGGGTATACAAGCTGTGTATAAGGAGCATATAAGGAGTATGCAACATATAGGCCGATAGATCGTGAACCGGTTTTTTTTGCGGGTCTGTTTTTTTGTTCACCTCCTATTCCCCGAGTACAAACTGAGAATTGGCCAACGCTGTTGTACACGAAAATTCTAAAGCAAAAGCAATCCCACTGACTTGAACCGCAGTCATATGAGGGGGCTCTATAAGCCAGCGCTGGGGAAGGAATGGGACCGGCAGGACTTGAACCTGCGACCTCCCACGCGTTCAAGCCCCATATAGCACAGCAGCTCACCTTTCAAAACTGCATACCAGAGATCTATTGTGAAAGAAGGGCGGGCGATATTCACATTGCAGCGCCTTTCAACCTTCAATTGGAGAATCCCAAACAATGCCTTCAACGGTTCGCTTTAAATTCCGTACTTTGCGCAACTCGCTTTTGACCTTGGCAAAAATATATACCAAACCAGACAAACCCCCGCGGGCCTCTCCATGAAAGAAATGCGATTGGCAGTTGTTTGTTCCAGAGGCCTATTTATCATTTAAGGGGACCGTGTTCGTACTTGGCTGCCCGAGTCAGACTTAGTAGGTGTGAACCATGATTGCAGCTGGCGTATTTGGGGTGAGCCCCTTGTGCCCATACCAACAACCTACTTGCCAAGTCGGGGAAACATCCGAATAGAGAAACCAATTGTTGTTTCCCAGAAGAATGTTTATGATTATTGAAATCGCAACGCGATCCGCCGACGCCAGTGGACAGTCCCCTATTATTAATAAACTGGCACTGGAGAAGAGCACTAGGGTCTACTCTTTAAACCACCCCCCGAAAGGGTATAAAAGCAAGGCCCCATTTTTTGTTAAGTACAACAAGGCCTTCTTGGCACTTTCCTGTTTTTCATGTCCCAGATGCTGAGGATGCTGGAAATGCAAGGGATGCAACCGCACAACTTACAGCCAGTCTTCGCGCTCAAGAGTTTAAGGCTTTCAGACACGCAACATTGACCAAACACATAAAATACCAGAGATGTGGGGAATGCTGGGAATGCAGCCGGCTAGCCACAAAAAAGTACAACAAAACCAGGGTTTTTCAATATTTCCCAAAAGCAACCATCAAAAATCGATACTAGCAACCCCCCTCAAATACCCTAAAAATAGACTTCCAAAAGCACGATAATGCAGGGGGGTGTTTCGCAGTAACTGCTCCGTACAGGTGGGGAATTGCAAAAACACTTGGGCGAAACGCCGATTTTTAGCACGAAAGGCCCAAAACACTGGATTGGACACCTAGCACAGCATGCCCAAACATAGCAGTCCTAAAAGCCTTCGGCTTTGATAAGAGATTCCGAAGGAAGACCAAGTTGCGGACTGCCATCTACACGCTCGACTGGCGTCGGCGGATTTACTGTATTGGGCGTGACTTGGCGCGTGTTCATTCCTACTTGGATGTCCAACCCAATGAGTAGGTCATTACACCATGGTACTTGAGGGGGAAATTTGTTGGTGACTCGGTGACTCGAGGTGCGGCACGGCACTGCCGGCGACTTCGACCACAACCAGCGGTGGATCGTGTTGCAGTGCTGCGAGGCTTACGGAAGCCGGGGAGTGCGGGCGGTGGGTTGAGGTTCGGGCGGTTCGGGTTTAGGTTTCAATGAATCAATGAACCCTGAGAGGTAGTGCCTCTTTTGTTTGCTTGTGGTTGCGTTGTTGCTGGTGAATTCCTCCGCACATGGTTAGTGGGCCTAAATCCGTACTTAAGTGATGGCCCCCAAAGGGTTCCTCTACAGGTAGTTAAGGTTTACATCCATGCAGCTGCATTTAGACCCCCCCTAAGACAGACCCTTCTTGAAAGGCATGCATTTTGATCGCATGGATGGAGTGTCTATGCTCAGAGTTTTTTACCAGTCACCCAGTCCTGCACTCAAATCCCTCATTTGATGCAATCTAGCAGCTAGCATTGCAAGGGCAGATGGGTGGACTGAGCATGATTTGGATATGGAGAGATGTGGAAAGGGTCTCACATGTGTGGCATTGTTCTACACAAGATCAATGTTCTGGCCATGCGCAGAAACTGTTGTGGAAACATGGGTTTTCATTTGGAGACAGCACATCTCGTCCCCAAATGCTGGACATTTGCACTGCACTCACACCGCACTGACACCTTAAATTTGACACAACGCATCCTTTGCCATGCCCACTTCACCCTCAGTTGATACTGAATCGTATTGTCATTGTGAATGCGTCTCAAACCGGGCCAACTAACTTGCTAGGACACACTGCGATGCTTGATGTTTGCCCACGCTTAGCCCTCGACACTCCCCCAACTCCCTGCTAGTAACTGGCCACTTTGTCAGGCTCGGTTGGGTGTAAACGGGTTGCTTTTAAATGGGGTTCCCCTCGGAATGCTGGGATGGATGAATCCCTATAAATACTGGGAAAAGCCACTTACCAACTTGTGCATGATTTAGTCTATCCCCAGTAGTAGCCCAAGTCAACAACCTACTTGACCGACAACCCGGGCCAGTCACCAAGACAGCTATCCAACATGTTCTGAAGCGCTGCTTCAAGTTCCACATTTCTCCTTGGCATCCAGGATGCCGTGTGCCGACAATGCTTGCGGCAGCACCTGCAGATCAACGGCAACTCCTGCCCTTTGCGGCTTAGCTTCATTTCGTGCATGTTGCCATTAGGGTGTCCGTAGCTCAGATTGGTTGACCGTGGATGGTATTTTGCGTCCCAGGCGGGATTCGTGCCCACCAACCAGTTTGAGATGGTTCCCTGTTTAATTTCATGGACAGATGGCAGTGGTTTTACTTTGATGAAAATCATGTAGCAGCGCTATCATGTTTTCCTATCAATATGTTTCTTGCGTCATTTAGAAGCAGGATTGAGTGTCGACTGTGATCCTTCCCTTTTGGTGAACGTTCCCCTTATTAATCTGCCAGGCTGATTAACCCACGGACAACGCTTATGAAGCGTGCAAATGGGTTTTGTTAACCCCGGAAGAGCAAGATTGGTGTGAGAATACGCGCGGATATGTCCTTCAAAGTGAAGGATCCCCCCAAATAGGACTCCTTAGAAAGGGGTATTGGGTGTACCAGTTGGGTTGACTGCCATCAATCGCTCAGGGCCATTTCAAGCAGAGGAGGTAATTGCTTTGCATCGACTGGAAGACTAGCCAGTGCAGTCACGCCCTGACCTGCAGGAATGCGTCTCATCGGCTGGTGGACATGGCCACTTGTTTGCATCTGAGGGCACAGCGTGAGAACCTAGCATGTGAGCCACGATCAAAACCTGAGTAGATTAAGGATAGTACTGGACAGTCCGAACCACAAACAGGTGCAGATATCTGCCCTTTGAATGTACTCGTATACGTTGGTTTGGGTAGACTCTTCTTGTACGAGGTTTTGATAGTGACCACGGGTTTGGTTCGCAAAGTTCCGCCAGGTGTTGGTTGTTTTTCTCAGTGAGGACACCGTGTTCAGAATCACCTGTGGCTCACCTGGAACCTGACGGGAGGTTCCGATGCGGGCGCGGAATCAAGCCAACTTGTGCCAGGATGTCATCGCTGGGTGCTGCGAGCCCAAGGAGTGGGTGAAACTGGAGCAGCGGAGAAGATACCAAGAAGCCGGCGGCAGAGGCGGGAAAATCCGCATAGGAGCTGAGACCTTTGGTTCAGAGTAAGTTCTTCCCGTGTAGGCCACAGCATCCTTGAACACTTCCGTTGCAGTCGTCAAACTTGGGCGCCGAAGCAGGACGAATTCCATTCGGGCTTCTTGCGGAGGAACCGTCTGGGTCGTGGGCGACGAAAATGTATAGCATAATCTCCGAGGACAGCAGCGACGCGGGCAGCATGCGGCTGGGAGTTGTGAGTGCGTGTTTTGCCAGACAGCACCTTGTAAGTATGCCCTCTGGGGAGAACAACGTTCATAGTTTTAGTTCTTTCCGGTATGTGGACCTAGGTGATTGTCCTGACCCCAAACAGGGGTGAACTCTCATGAACGGGTGAGTCTCACTCTGCAAGCTTGGGCCCGTGGGAGGAACTGTTTTACGTCGTGGCAGCTCACTAAACGGAGACTTAATTACTAAGATGCAGAAGGCCCAAAACGTGGTGTTTAAATTCACCAAACAATACATGTAGGGAGCCCTGCTGCTGGGATCGTCTCGCAACTTTTGTTCACCGTTACTAGAATGTTTTGCTTGTCGCCTCTTTGGTTCTGTTGGGGAGCTGCAAAGAACCGTGTTTTCTTTGCTAACATGTGGGTTGGAAACTTATCTAAGTCCTGAGCTGTATTTTGTATGCTTAATTGGCATGCCTTTTGTTTGACTGAGCTAGTCTGGAACAGCTTTGTTTGTTGTATGGGCTTGATGCAAGGGACCAACAAATACTGACAGTGTTCCCCTGTAATCATGACCAAATATGGCTTTAACATACCCCGCAGCCCCAGTCTAGTGACTTGGGTCCCATGAACCTGTATGCGGGGTTTCTGAACATGGCGATCCTCTAAAATGGCAAGGGCTTCCCTATGGGTTTCCTTTAAATACCATCCAGAAAGGGGCCCACACCCCATCTTGAGAAACCCCCAAACACCCGCAGACCCCGAAGCCCCGACCGCTTTGGAGGCTTCTGCTGCACGGGGGACTGTGCCTCGGTGATGCCGGCCTGCCCACCGCTGCCGCCGTGGAACAGCCAGCCCTTTCCTGCGCCGTGCCCAGGCGCCGGGAACGGAGGGGATCTCTTTCGAGGTGTTCTCATGCAGGTGACGGAAGATGGTATAGTGGTAAGAAGGGGGATGGTGTATCAACATGAGGTCTGCAAGTTGTCGTCAATCCCCGAAAGGGTTCCTTTTATGACCAGGCTCACTGAACAACTGGAGTTTAATTGGGTGGGTTGGGGTTGTGTATACAGGTGTCCGGGTTGGGGTTTGGGGCATGGGTTGAACAAAAAGAACATGTTGATCTCCTTTCAGGATGGTCAGGTGGGTCGGGGTTAGGTGTCGGGGTTGGGGGCCTGATATGGGCGCGCCTGTTTCTTTGGGCTAAGGCTGAGGTGGGAGGCGTACAGTCCCTCAAGCACACCCGAGCGGCTGCTTGTTTGGACACTTGGGCTTCTGACATGGCAAAAAGCGTTACATCGGACTGGCTCAAGTTCTATTACTGGGACATGCAGTATGCTGGCATGGTACGGCGGCAAAGCTGAATGTCCGTGAGCAAACCCATGCCGGTGCACTTTGATCCCTGCAAAGCCAGGGGCTTTAGGTGAAGTGACCCAGCGGGGTCATCGACGAGGAGATCTTGTTAAACAAAAGAGCTTGGACATGTTTGGGCTGATGGCCCTGCTGGCTGCAAATTTCCGGTTCATCAAGGTGGAAGGTCTTGCAAGGTCCAACTTATCATCTCCGGGCCAGGGTCAGCAGTCACCCACATTAAATTTTGGGTTTCGATTTGGTGTAGGTTGCTCTACGGTGCAATTTGCAGGGTTCCTTATATGTCTCCTTGTGGTTGTAAAGTGAAATGCATGTGTTTGTGTGTGGTTGGGGTGGGGGGGTGTCCGAGCCCTGCTTCGGGTTGGAGTTGATGCCATTGGCCCGTAGGTTGCCAACTGGCGCACTGCGGCAGGCCTGTGCAAGAGTCTTCTCGACTGCTTCAAGGGACAGGAACGAGCCACCCTGAGGAGGTTCATGTTTATATGTTGCCAGGGTCGCTGACTTGTTTTATCCAGCTCTTAACATGTAAAGTTGCTGATGTTGCTGCACAACTGTTGCGACGGGTTCAAATGGGTTCTAGGATGCTACACACATTGTCCTTTCAGTGTAAGCTGAAACCGGCTTCTTAGAACGGGTTAGCTTTCACGCCAGTGTTGCTTCCCAGCCACAGCTGCACCATTCGGGACTCGGAACCCCATTCAAATGGCAACATGAAATTGCAAAGTCCGAGCCAGCAGGTTCACCAAAATGGCTCGGCACCTTTCAACTTTATTTGTTGAGAGATAACAAATCAGGACCCTAGTGCTTGTTCTTGTTCAGAAGGCTTCTTTATCGGGTTTTCTTACCGGCTTTACGTTTCTCCTGAGCTCGGGGAAAGTGGGGAAAAGCGTGGCGGAGGTCCGTGTTGATGCTGGCCAGGCGCCCTTGGATCCTCCCAAGCGTCCAATGTTTGTTCTAGCGTGTCAATATTGAGTCGGCGGCTTTTAAGTGGGGGGTACAGGAAAGTGGCTCCATTTAGCCATGACTCAGCCGCCACCCTCCCTTTAAAGAACATGGACGCCGCCAAGGACCCCTTTAAGGAAAGGAACGTCCTTTTCTCGGGTCGGAGCTAGCCTGAGGGAGGGCAACTCCAGAAAGGCTCCCTGAGTCGTCGATAACTTGCTGACCGTGGCACCTGCGAGGTTTCTGTTGAGCTTCGTTGCCGGCTGCTGCCGTTTCGTGTTTTGATGTTTAGGCTGAGTGTTCAAATGGATGTTGACATTGTGTCGCGAGCCTTAGTGAACACAAAACACTGATGTGATATGGCCCGGGAATGGTACTGCGCTTTAGCTCAGCTTCAAGTTGTCTTCCAAATCACATAGCCATTTTGTTCGGGTTCTTGGTGCGAAATGGAAAACGGTTGGGGTTTCTATTTTAGGACTATATGATAAGGCCAATGTTCGCTCTTTGCTTGCTTCTTTTTGCGGTACCCCTTGTTTGGCGAAAGCCAACCGTTTTGTGGGATTGCCTGTTTTCAGACACGCTCTGACTCATTTGGCCAGCACATTTAGCAGCCATACCTCTGGTATTGCCGCTGTTGCCTTTTCGGGGTGGGTTCCCCTTAAAAATAAACCAACAAAAAGGGTGTCCTTGTTTCCCTTTCAAATCCATTAGAGGTCTGAATAAATTGGGATCCCTTGGTTGAAGCAAAGCTGGAAAAGACCGCGCAGCATTGAGGAGTTGAGCTCCAATTCCTTGCGTTTGGAAACGTAGCGGAGGACGCCCAGGTGTGACTTTGGTGAGTCAACTTAGATTCGTGGCTTTGGAGAGTAATCATGGCTGCCAAACAACCGTGCCAGGTTCCTTAAAGGACACATCCAAACACCAGCTGGTACATGGTTTTGATTTTTCAAGCGGCCCATGTCCTCGTTGACCGTGTTAGGTGTGGCAGCCCATGGCCGGACTCCCTGCTGGAGCGCCACCTCTGCGAGGATCTGCGACACTCCGCCCTGCGCGACGTGCAGAGCCGTGCTGGGGCCTTGGCCCTGCCTTGGGAACAGGGAGAGATCCTGCGGGCTGCTGCGGGTTGCATGTTGCTTCCTTCCTTCCTTCCTTCCTTCCTTCCTTCCTTCCTTCCTTCCTTCCTTCCTTCCTTCCTTTAGGTTTCTCTAGCTGAAGCGCGGTTGGCTCTACCCGTCTTATGAGTCAGGAAGAACAGTACCGACCAGGCATCCACTTGTGCTTTGTTGAGTGGATGTCCATTGAAAATAGAATACTATTGTTGGGAGTGGGAGCCCTTTTTGAAGCAACGACTCTCTATTGCAACATTTAGCCGCTGAATTGTGGCTTTGGTTGCCAACACATTTGTTTATACTAGATGTATGCTATTTGGCAATTCAGATGTCGCATAGTTGCGCCACATGCTTAAGCAGTGAGCAAACTAAGCTGTAGATGAGGGTCAGTCAGGCCTTGTGCTGCAAGACAAGGTCTGTTTAGAAGCATGTTGGGCTATACTTGAAGGCGGGCACTGGAGAACATGTTTACAAAGAAGCAATGGCAAAATAGGGGTGTCCCCTGCGCGACCAGAAAACACAACCCAGAAATGTTGCTGAGCAAAACGACACACAACCGGGCTCGGATTCATTCTTCAGAAGGCTTTCTTCCTCGTTTTGCCAGGTCAATGAATTTAGACTTGCCCAAAACTAATTCCTACTGCGACACTTTATGGGCACATTTTGGGGGAGAGGGGGTCACATGAACATGGCACGACTTGTGACATGTGATTCGCGCATATGCGGGCATTCTGGGTTAGCCTGAGCCTCCTAATTTGCTCAGCCATCTCTGTATTTTCCAGGGAGGAGGATGAAACTTATTGAACGGGTTGCCTCACTCCTTCTCTGCTTGCTTTGTGTCCCCTTTTGGGGGTGTTAAGCATCGTCTTTGGAACACTTTTAACGTGATTGTCCTTTTAGCAGGATGTTGTTTCTTCCCCTGCCTTCCCTCCGACATAGGAATGCACCGAGGTGGCAGCCGAGAGGCTAGTTGCGCCGATGCTCGCCACTTGGCCGTTTTCTTTTTGGGGTCATTTGCACACAGCTCCAGTGAGTTTCTTCAAGAAGGGTTCGTGCCGACGCGCGCGCAGGTACGTCTCAGTATGAGAGCACCTGGAAGCTTGTCGGTTTGCTTTTGTTTGCCTTTGGAAGCCGCTTGGTTCCCTTCAAGCAAAATAACACGCCCATGTGGCCAGGGTGTGGCGGGATGCTTTGAATGCAATATGGACCCATGACTGTAGAAGTTTCAGAGGTCCTAAATGCTGGAAGCTTTGTGGTGCGCGTTAATCTCAAGTTTCTCGGCATTGGCCCACATACTCCGCGTTTCCATTTGTTTGGAGTCAGTCAGGAGCTTCAGCTCATGGACACTCACAAAGGAACAAGCCAGTGCTCAATGCAATTTGTGTGTAATTACGCGTGATCAAACACGTGCCTGCGGGTAGAACGAATGATCGCATAATTTGCTTTGCATGACTTGAAACACGTGACATTCGGGCAAGCTCAGCACCTTTGGGCAGGTAGCATGATTGAAAGGCACCCTAAGCGGACCGTTCTGCTAATTTTCACAGCCACTGCAGCTACAAATTGTGCCTGCGGAATTGCGGAAGGAATGCTTATACTGTTTGGTTGTTTCAAGTTGCTTTTGTTGACAGCTTGTCAGGCTTCGATCCTGGCGTTGCTGGCGCGGTTGTTTGCATTGTGTATAGCACTAGCTGCAGATCTGAAGCGTCACAGTGCGACCAGCCCGACAGCCGGGCTGGGCGCTCCGTTCAGTTCCTGGGGAATGCCATGGCCTCTTTCGCCACTTGAATCGCCGCGTGGTGGCCGGTGGTTTATTCCTCGCTTCCGGAGGATGTTGTTCCTGGTCATGAAAGAGAAGCACTAAACTATGGCAGAAGAAGCTGAATGGTAAATATGTCTAATATGTCTATGAAGTTCTAGTATGTTTCTGTGCATCATGGTTTTCATGTCTATGGTGTGTGTGTGTGTATGTTATTTCGTTGTTTGCCACTGTGAACTTCCCGGCACGTGCTGAACATGTTGCACAACAGGAGGGTGGCTGACAGCTTGCATTGACAACTGCACTCAACAGCCTGTCACGGGAAAAGTCGACAAATTGCTTTCATAAAGCATACAGCAGCTGGTTTAGAACGTTTTCTAAGCTGTTATGTCGGAATGAGCTGAATGGCTAAACGGCCAACGTTCGGCGTAAAATGTTTTTGATCTGGATACCTATGAGTGTTATGTTCTTCTACTTCCGGCCCTCGAATTCTGAGGACACGCTGAGCCATGCGCTGGTTACGGGCACCTCCTGGAACTGGGCAAGAACCTCATTCCTGGACCTGGAATTGGCGAAACCAAAAAGGGCACCCAAGTAGATGGGTGTGACTTTTTCTGATACCAATTGTTGTCGGGCTGTTTCAACGGGAAACCAGAAGGAACCCACCTATTTTTGGAGGGCACCCTTATGTCGACAGCCCAGATGAACTTGATGACAAGCTTGGGATGAAACGAGTGGCTCACCAACAAAGGTCTCTTTCTCGTGGATCTCGATTTCAGGTTGGTGAAAGTAGTGCCAAATGCGATGACTCTGGCCATTCAGCCAAAGGCAACCCTTCCTTCCCTTTGCCAAAGGGTCTGGACTCATGTTACAGCGATATTCCAAGATAGAAGCACGGAGACATGGACCTCAAACATCCAGAGGGGAAACACCGGCTTTGATTGTTGGGTGCATGCCCTTATTCCCTTCGAACCAGCAAGTAATGTCCTATCTGAAGTCACGCACCTTGCAGCTTAGTGGTTGGAGGGGCCAAAAGGGTCGTACCACCTCCTGAGAATGTCCTTGGACCCAGAGGGTTTCTGAAATACTTGTTCCGGATGTCAACATCCTCACTTAGGGCTGAACTGCCCAGGCCCATGAAGGCTTCGATCCCTTGTTGAAGTCGGTGCATAGATGATCATAGATGAACCCCCCTTCACGCACAATGGTCCTTCCAGGAACAAGGGACCCGATGTGGTGCATGTGCCTTTGACAGAAGTGCTTCATTTCAGGTCCCGTTGTCGTTGGCTGGATTGAGTCTGTCTGAAGTCCCTCGCACCAGGTCTCTGCCACTGTCCAAACCTTGGCTGCAGAGACAGCCAGGGCACGTCTGAACGGCGCGGCCCGGGGAGGGGGTGGACACTGGATGCTGTAATCCACCTTCACTGTACTGTTGAGGGGTCCTTTTCTGTTCAGTTTCCCTGCATATTCAGCCAATACGTTTGCACTGGGAAGGAGTTTCGGGTGGTGCAGGCCGTTTGACTTGCGTGGGTTTGGCTCCAAATGGGGGACTTGCAAGGAACTACCTTCAAGAATTAGACTACCTTCAAGAATTAGACTCACCCATGTACCTATGGTCACCCTTCTATGCGGAGCTTCTCGCTGAAATAGATGGCAGGTTTGGGAAGGCGTGTGGCATCCTGATTTGCTTGAATGGTGTCTGATTAAAGACAAACAGGGCTTGGACGAACAAGCACCTGTCCAGACTCCAGACACGCTTGTTTCCCTGCAAGTTCTTGTTGATTACAGTTGTTTCCCCAACAAGGGCAATTTTCTTGTTGGTCCGTGCCCACTGGCTAAGTACGGATAGACTATGCATAGTTCAGCTTCGCTTTCTGGAAGTTGACAAATATTGCTCGCTGATGTGGCTTGTGAGTACACGGCCATCCGGAATTCAATGAGCTGCACTCGTTACCTTAATGCAAGCGTGGAAATGTTGTTTCTTTTTGTGGAAAGAAACGAGGTCCGATTTTGGACACCCCGGAAGCCGTTGCCATGCACATATCCTGCCAAATTGAGGCCGCGCACAGGGCTTGATTTGCGTGTTGCGACCCTATTGTGAGGCTGTGATTAGTTGCTCGATTGCACTTTCCCCACTCTATGTTTATTCCTGCTTAGATTGTTAGATCGTGCATTCTGACTTAGCACACTATCATTGAAAGAAGCACTTCTTGCAAACTGCTGGGCAGGTGCCATGCTGTAATCATGAAAAGCGTTGTTGTAGTCTGAAGCAGCTGTGTGCTTCACAGTTTGGTACACTCGGTCTGTGCTGGGTCCATGCTTGGGGCGGAATGTGTTTGGCATATATGAGGATGGTGTTGCGGGCTTCAAACAACTTGTCATAACGGTTAGCACGGTGACATCATGTGCATGAATCGTCCCGTGCAATGCAACCGTAATAACCACAGGTACGCAAATTATCTCATGAATCTGGTAACATCCCACTCCACCCATGTGCATCTGACAAACCATGGCCAGGGCCCACATGGGAAGTTTGACGCCAATTTGAATTGATGTCTGGTGGCTAGGCGTTGGGCTTAGCCAAGAAGGTACAGACCTTCTGCACCTTGGCGGATCACTGTTTGTCGGGTTTGCGCCTAGCTGACGATAGTGGTGTGTGTGAGTGGTTGTGTTGTAGAGGGCACCCAGTTTTCCTTGGGTTATAGGGAAGCCAGAGGGAAAACCGCTCATTTTGGGGCTCCCTTTTCTGACACATGCCGTAGGGGAAAGAGCACCCAGTCAAAACCCAGATAGATTAAGGCTATGGGACAGTCTCAACCAGAATTCGGTGCGGCCGTTCTCTTGATTCCGTCGCTTGTTTTGTTGGCTTATAGACTATTTCAACACCAGGTTTTGAGTGCAGTTGACGATAGGCGCACCTAAGGAGTCCAACATATTGAACAATCTCCAAACGAACCCCAGGGATTCAGCAAATTCAACTAGAACAATCACATGCAGCTAAGAAATGTTAGATAAATGTACTGTAGTTTTGTCCCCTTTCAGAACCGTGCAAGTGCACCGATTCGCTTTTGAATGAGTGTTGTTCCATGCATGCTGAATTGCGGGAAAGCCACGTACCAATTTTCCGTTCAGGACACCACCGCAGGACAGATGTGTTCTGCGTCCGTTATTGTTGCACTTGGTTTGCCTCTAAGTATGAATGAGCACACCTACATGTCGTGTGGAACCCAATGACCCGTATTTCACATGATTGCATCTACGTGTGGGATTTGAGCCGCGGACAATTCGTTTGAATGTCGCTTTTGTAAACATTGGTGGGTATGCATGTGTCAACTGCGCAAAAACAACACAACAGAAAACGACAAGGAGGCCCCTCAAAAGAATCAACATAGTCTGACACACCCAAAGTGCGCAGAAGGCCCTTCTGCGTGGGACAGACTGTTTGGGGAACATGTTGCTGGAATGGTTGTGCGGTGCTTGTTGATGTGGAAACTCCTATGAGCCTTCGGCCGAAATCCGAGTGATTCCACCGAGGCACGTCCCAATATTCGGGGTGTTCGATGGCACCTGCAGGCCCTTTTTGCAACATCTCTAAGAAGTCCCAGGTTGGACACAACCACATATCACGATCAAAGAACCGCATCCCCATCACACGCCATTTGACACATCCATGATGTAGATGGCTTTCTTAGGCCCTTGTTTTTCTTCAGACAAATAACCCAAAAGTTACCCTCCCACAAATCATATCAAAGCCCAACAGAGGGCGGCACTATCCCATGCGACTGTGGATTGTTCATGGAAGCTTCAGGTACCCCTCTGAACGAGAACCTCTATCGTAAGCCTTCTTTAAGGGCCAATAGGAGCTTCCTTATGCCTGGGTCCTTGTGGTGGTGTCCCGCTAGGGACGCATTGCAGATTAAGACAATGGGGCCCCCAATTCACTTGGAGCATGTTGTTTTAATCTTACCATGTCTGGGGGGGTCTTCTAATGATGCCCTTTTTGTGGATGACTCAACGGCAAATCGAAGGAAAAGCACCAAGTTTGTTCCCATCTTGAAGCACACGCATGTTGAACAACCCAGTTACTTAACCAGGGGGTTTAGGGATTTCTGGTTTCCATTCCCTTTGAAATTCAGACGCCCCCCCCATTTTGAACCCAGCCGGACAGCTTCCCTTTTGCTAAACGGCGTCTCTCTTTTCAAGGATGGACAGCTTCCCCGCGCCGGTGGCCGTGGATGCGCAAGGTGCCTCCGAGCACCTGGGCAAAGCCGATGGGTTCTCATTAGAACCATATGGATACGTTTCAATCTAGGGAGGCCGCAGACATGGTGATTTCGCTTTTGGCCTTGTAAATCGACCTGGAAAATGCACGCTCAACAAGAACACTCCCGAGGTTCGGTCAACATGTCCCCATTTGCGGGGACAGTCAAACCAGGGACTCACTAAGTTTCCCGTGTCCTGGAGGGGAAAAGTACTCAGTACTCGGAATTAGTAGGGATGGTCATGGGCAACTTATGGGGGTTACCAGGAAGGAATCATGCCCGTGGGTATGGCGTCGGATTAGGGTGGGGCCGACCAATGGTGTTCTTTCTTTTGCCAACTGCACGGCCTTCTCTAAGAGGTATGCCAAGCTTGTTCAACACAGGGGCAAATGGCCGCCCTGTTGCACAAGCTTTGATTTGGCTGCTTTTTTGCAGGGTCTGCTGGCTGGGTAGATCAGGACAAGAAGCAATCGAGCTCACTTGCAGGTAAAATAATTTGACCCATGATGAGGGACCTTATTTCCAGTGAGGGAATCTGCCCAGAGAGATGGTGCCAACTTTGAGGCTTCGTGTTGTTCGATAAACAACAGGTGGGGTGAACAACACAGGCGAGGCGTTCAACATCAGTGTGTCCGCAATATTTGAAAAGGCAAGACCACGCTAGACACGATCCTGGGCCCTGGCTATTTGAATAACGAGCTCACCGATTGCGAGCTTAAACGAGCACAAGCTCAATGACTCGTTGGTCGGTCGAAAGAAATGACAAGTCGCAAGGTTTCATGTATTGTGTGCGGCTGAGTAGGTGTTACAGCTTACAGTCCTCCTGCGTTGTTTGCCGGTTGATTTGGCGTGGATCTTTTCGTAGCAAGTGTATGAACTCCAGCTTTGAAGGTAGCTCCCTCCCATGCCTGGCCGTACACCGATCTGGAGGTGTCACAAACTTGGGTGCCATGTTTGGATGGGTTTCAAAAGCAGGCGAAAAGAAGACCAACCAGTATTTGGGGGTCCAAGTATTTGCCAACCTACTTGGGTGCTTAAGTCTCGTGTGAGAATGCGCTGTTCAGATCTCGTCGGTGAGGCTGCGGCTCTTGCAGATGTTGCAGGAGTACCGGGCCGAGCGCAGGCAGGGCCAGGAAGGCGAAGGCCGGCTCGACCGATCGGACGGATGTGGGGTGAAGGCCACCGAGTGGCACCCAACGCCCCAAGTGGCATCCAGGGCTAGCACTGCTATCACGTTTTTTTTGGTGGAAACAGAGAACCGTCCGTTGTTTGCCGGTTTGTCGCCAGTGCGAAACTGCCTATGGTCTGTCCACTTCGAAGGGTGGTGCCCTAAGGTTTGAGATTTGTTCAGTGCGGTGGTTTGGGCATTCTCAGTTCGGTGTTGCTGGATCGTTCGCACATGTGTTATATGTCGGCGTTTGTGTGTATGTTTTTGCGAGTGGGTGTGTGCGTGCGTGTTTGATGATTTATGGTATGAGTGTTGCTGTCCTTGCAGTGCGAACCAGCCCAGCGTCTCATCAACGTGACGGACCGCAGTTGTTCTTGTCGGCGTTGTTGCTGCAGCGGTAAAGGCAACACTGGTAGCAAGTTTAAGATGGCTGCCCTGCTCTAGCAACTCAGTAGTATAGTTGTACTAGCAGGCAAGCGGGGTGTTGACTAATTGTTCTTGCTGCTTGTACTTTTCGGGTACCATGCTGACTATGTTGCTTCTTTCATCATGTGTTGTTGGTGACTTGTCACTACACATTAGCGCTCTGTGTTGTGCAAGGAAGCTACTAGTCCTCTGGGAGACAGCGCGTTCCTTGTTGAAAGAAGCCATCACTAATTTGTCCGTCAACTGCAGGGTTGAAGTTATCACTAGTTGAATGACATGCAGGGTTGATCTATTGACACGTGTTTGAGTTGGCCTATTCTCGTGGGATCAGGTGGCCTGTTTGTGCAGGCCTCAAGAGCACGTGTCCCAATTGAAACACAATTTCCAAGTCGTGGGAGCCATGGAGGAAAGGCTACGATGCACAGTTTGAACTGATCCAGAATTTGTTGTGCCAAGTTAGTGGGGATCCCTTTGGGATGAGCAGGAAGCTGACCTTTTCGTGATCAACGAGACACCCAAATGCAGCCAACCACTTCACAGTTCCCACAATTCCTTTATCATCCCTGAACACGAACACTCTCTTTCTTCGCATTTCGCTGAGTTGTTCACCGCGCCCCTTGTGACCTGTTGCTGTTCCAGCTTCGTTTCTTTCTCTGGCATCACACAAACGTAGCCAGAAATTCCCATTTGTTCTACGCTTTGGTCGATTCGTCAACCATTTGTTGGCCTCTCTTGGTATATCTTGGTTTCTACGCCAGATGTCGACTGGTTAACGGCCATGCAGCACGAGGGTGCCGGGGCCTTAGATCTTCGCATCCTGGCCTCCATTTCGCCCAGTGATATGTGAGTGTGTGACGTGTGTGACTTGTGTGTTTTTGTTTTTCAACGGAAGTCGAAAGGAAAGCCATCCTTTGGTGGTCCAAATTCCATTTCGATTGGATACCCAAATGTAGCAGGCAACCAAGAGAACCACCCAAAAGGAACATAGCAACTAGCTGCCTACAATTTATTGGTAGCTGGGATCCACTCGTTTTGCTACATGTTGAAAATGCTTTGATGCCTTCAGCGAGGCGTATGTGACTTGTTCACTATAATTTGCTGTTTTTTGTTTTTTTTTCAATTCAAGCACAGCGATCGTGTTGACCATGAATTGCACTTTTCGTGCAGGGTCGTTCAGCGTTGCTCCTTACCCAGGGCTCCCGTGACGGTTGACTTGTGGATGTTGCAGGTTGAGCAAACTGGGCATGGGGAATCTCGGAAAAAGAAAAACAACTATGTTCCTTCCTTCGCACTTGCAATGTATCAAGCAGATCAAATCCGCCAAGCCACAGAGCATGCTCTACCCAGAAACAGTGGTGCTTTGTAGAGTTTTCACCAGGCAGTACGCCTTTCATACTGCAGATCTCCACAATCCCAACATGATTTATGCTTGGTTGATGTCAAGGATGTTTAGAATCTTAGCCGACTGCTGTATCTGTCCGTGAGTTTTAGAATGAACAGCATGTTGAGTGCCTGTGTTTGCAAAAATGTCAGACACCCGCTTTGGAGTTCATGATAGTTTGCAGGGGCCACCAGACCCCCAAAACATATTTGTTTTGAGGAGTCTCATTTCGCACCCAAAAAGCGAGTTCTATGTTGATTGCAGGCTACCCTAGTTCCCGAGGAACGCATTGCCTTTCTGCGACGCGGGCGGCGTCACACCGCCACGTTGCGGCAGCTGGAGACTTTGAACACTCAGCGCAGACAGCGCCTCGATTCTAAAATTAGAAGGCAGAGATGTGCAGAGCTTGTGGATGACAACTGCATCTGGTTGCATGGATGAAACAAACATTTTTTTCTGGGATAAATCACCTACCAGGCGCATAATTTTGTCCATCCACAGGTGGACTTGTGATCCTGATATTTTTCTATTATGTTTGATTATGAGCTGTTGGTCACTTTGAACACTTTGAACACTTTGGCCCACGGGTTTGTCATGTCTGTTGGTCCATGGGTAGTTTGCTTGTAATTATTTTGGGCATGTTGTTCGCATGTTAAATCCAAAGCCCCAAGAACGGATCTAGACGAGTCGTTGCCGTGGCCGTGGCATGGAATTCCGAGTCATTCAGCAGCAGCAAGTTCCGGAGTAGCATGTAATGATGCTTCTGCTAGCGGGATGAACATACGACTCGTGGATAGAATAATGGCACACAAGATGCTACCATGTAATAAAGATATAGTGACACCGTTTTTCGCGGTCCAGTTCCAGCACAGGATATGTGCGGTTTGGTTTTCACAACCCGACTGAGCCAAGGGACGGCGTGGGGCCGATCAAGGACTGCCCGTCGTGTCAGCATCCCACCGAGCGCGCGCGGGGCCACAATTCGGGACAGGGTGTGGCAGCCAAGTGGCGCCTGGGGGGCGGTCTTCACAGATGGTGTCATTTGACAGCGCACATATGTAGTGTCCCTTCATGCCTGAAGGCTTGGCCAGAGGTAGTGTTACAGTATTGCTGTGTGCCTGCGGCTTTTGTGAAACCAGCAGACGCTATAAAAGTATGAATGAAGAAATAAAATAACATATAGATGATATATGCAATAGAGATGATCTCAAACCTCTCCTCGTGCCTTATGTTGCCTCTGAATTCCACGTCCAGGTCTAAAGTTGAGGTAAAGACAACAACAAGCATGTTGTACCGAAACGCCAATGACATCATGAGCAACACACCGCGTGGATGCATCCTGGGCTGAAACTGTGCCACACAAAGCAGCCGCCTGTACGCAGACACTTGGTTCTTGCTTTGAGTGTGCATAGCGCTCACTGAAGGAGATCCAACAGGTTGCCTCGTTTTTGGCAGACCACCATTTTTTGTTCTTGTACTAAGCAGCTGCAAGATTGCTTGTTGCTAGACGGCACATGCAGCATAACTAATTGTCCAAAAACTTGGAGCAAGAGACAGCATGTAGACTGCGTGCATAATCCCTTGGTGTTTGGATCCAGGAGATCGGTGTACCATTAAGCCACACCAACAGCGACGAGCAACGAGTGTTTGACGCAGCATCAAGCTCGATGATTACCATCTGGACCCAATGTAGCCAATGTACTAAGCTTAAATCGTGCATATGTTGATTTGGGTGGAAGCGCTTGACATGTTCACAGAGAACGCGAGAGGTTGAAGGCTTTGCAGAGTGGCATGTCAATGATGCGCGCTGTTTCTTGGCCGTGCTGGTTGTTAGTTGTTAGATGCTTGCTTAAGCGAACAGGCAAACAACATTTGTGCTCACGGCCGGTTCTCCATGAAAAGCAATTTTCCTATAAAGCCATACTGGCGGAATTGAACCAATTACGCGACAAGCGTCATGATGTCTCCGTTGCTTTTAGGAGTGGACTTCGACGTCAAGCAAGCAACAGTCAGTATTCTCCGCCTGCTGTTGCAAAGCGGATGGTTGGGGGCCCCCTCAATTAAAGTACCATGGCGTTACGAGCCCAATTTCCCGTGTCAATTTTGTGTGGAATGGACCATGTAAAGTGTCAGCTGGCTGCACATGTTCGAGCCCAGATCGACGGGTGCAACATCATGACCTGCAGCGTTTGCAAGGCCTGGCAAGAGAGTTGATGCCATGTGCCAGAAAATCTGGGCCTTGCTTGTAGGATAAACAGGTGAGCTCCTTTCTGCCATTTACACGTCAAAGTTGGAATATATAATCCCTTGAATACTTAGTTGACTATTTTTCTTGAAAGGCTAGGACCAAACTGGAACTGTTCCCGGTTGATGCCACACCCCTCCCCCCCCCCAGCTGGTTGGTGTGTGCCGGGGAGACCCAATGTGGTCTTAACAGGAGAGGAGCATGTGTGGTGTCTTTGTGCGGGTGGTGCCATGAGGGATGTGGGGTGGCATGCTGACCCATGTATATAGGGGACACCCATTATCAAAACATGTCAGAGCAATTTACACCATTCCCAACCCACAACAGCCTCCCGTGTTGTTCTTTTGCGAAGGCGGAGTGGTGCTTTATTTGTGCGCGCTGCAAAGGCGGTCCGTCCGGGCAGCCAAGCCTGCAAGTGCAAGCGGACAGCTTGTTTCGGAGAGAGGCTGGGGAACAACTTTTTCCGGCGCTTCTTTGCTCATGTCCCACCAAGATCCAGCAACAATAAGACTGGGTGAGTTTCCGTGACATACTCACCTTGGGACAAGTGCATCTCGAGATCTGCAGAAATTTGTGAGGTCGGGGTGCAACCACTACCACTGCCAGTTTGCAGAGGAGGAGGCGCGGTTCCGAACCACTTTTTTTCAGTGATTCAGATTTGCGGGCCCACCGTCACGATCCTTGATGCGAGAAGCTTAAGACCATGCATCAGGATGTGCGTCTTTTGAGGTCACCCTTTCAGAATTCCCAGGAAGTTCGCGGTCTGGTTTATTCTACCTTGTGCTAGTGCTCATTTTACTTTCCTTCTGCACAACAAATCAGGCTGAGCAGAATAACGCAATGCCTCAATCATTCCATGCACATGGGCCAAACGTTGGACAAGCGCAGACTTGTCCTCTTCATCAGTCACGTGACCGCCCTTTAGGGCAACAGGGTTTTCAGTTTTCTATGTTGCCTACAAAAACTAGACTGAGGGCAGCGCTGAGTGGTAAGTCTGCCATTCTCTGCACCAAGATTAGTATATGTCGAGCTTAGGGGGACGCTTACTGCGTGAGTTTTGCTTGCAATTCTAGTTTCACAGAATGCCCAGTAGCATGTGTTTTTTCCTGGTGGCATACATCTGGGCTTGAGTGCAGGCCATCCTGTGCTTCTGCGCGCAAGTTCGGCCATCGACCTTGAAGCTTGCTGAGTAGTCTGCAGACAAAATGTTCAGCACAGGCTTGGTGAGAATGAACAAGTCACCCAGACCTTTGCCATATCCCGTGGCACGCACACACACAAGGTCCTGCTCAGAAGCAACTTTGTATTTGCTTGCTTTCATTTTGTTCAGTTTGACCATGTTGTTGCTGTTTGGGAGTGGACGGCGACCCTTGGATGGAGTGTTCATCCTTCACGGCATGTGTCTCGAATGGGTGAGGCAAACCGAGCGCAAGGCGCGGCTGGGAGGGGCGGGGTTGGGTGTATTTGTGCTCCAAAATCCGCGAGTAGTAGGGGAGGTTAGCAGGGGTCATTACAGACCATTGACAGTGGTTGTCCCTCACGCGGGTCGTTCTGCGTTTGTGGGGGTATTGCTTTGATGCCGGGCATGCTGGGCTTAGTTCTGACTCATTTAGGCGTGTCGCTGCTTCCTGTAATATATGTGTATGTATATATGTATGGACGCAATATGAATGACCAGTTTTCGTGTTTTGGGATTGCGTGAATGTGCCAAACATGGAGAGCTTCCCAGCAGCTGTTTGTTTGGTTCTCTTTGCGTCATTCCAAAGTCGCCCACCTCCTCATATGTTGACTCAATGTCAGATCATTGCCGCAATCTTATGGGTGTTATTCGGAGGGCTTGACAGGGACAGTAAAATTGCAAGCAACCCTGTGTCTTGAAAAGTGTCGTTTTGTTGAAGAAGCGCACATATCACTGAACAGGACAGTTCGAGGCTTCGTTCGCGAAGCCGGACGCAGATGATGACTGCCACTGCACAAGCCCAGTATGACAGTTGCCTTTGCTCCCCCATCAGCATTTATAACAACATGCACTTGGATGTCGACTTTCAACTGCCAAATCGCCTGCCTCAATGAGCTCACGAGCTGAACCAAACGGTGACGAAGAAGCCTCTACGTGCAGCAGGAGGACCGGAGAGCATTTACTTCTTTATAAACAACTGCTGATGAATAGACAGGTGTACCGCTTCGCCAGTGCATTGTGATTTGATTGAGCGTTTTCTATCCCCCAAAGCCTATGTGAAACCTGGTGATTGAAGGAAGTTGCAAGGCTATTCCAGGAAGTGCCAAGTTCGAAAGGCAAACACTAGATTACTTCAATTCAGTTTCAAGACGGCAAAGCTGTGAATCTGTGCGCGAGAGTTCGAGGGAAGCTGCCATTGCTTCTATAGTTCTTTGTCCATGGACAGCAGCCTAGAGATTTGGTCGATTCAAATGAGTGCACATGTAGCTGGGGACTTTGTGTCCCCCAGAGGGTGCTTCTCATTACACCTAATAGCCATGTGCTTTTCAGATTGTTCTTGATTTCCTTGAACACTGGAAAAACATTTTGTGGTCAGCGGGGGCTTGTCCTTTGCGTATCTGACTCATCCTGAGATAGCTGCCCAATAGCCCCCTTTAGAGGGCCATGTTCATGGTGAGCTCGCCTGGGGGTAAATGAGCTCACCATGATGCAAGTCCTTTACTCGCGGATCCAATTATTTTTAGGTTTTGGAAGTCGCGCATGTTGTGGAGATGAATGGTTTTCCTCAGTCCCTGGCCGCATGCACCCATTGGCGACCCTCGGATGCGCGAATCTGCATCTCCCCCGTGGCAGGCGAGGCATCGTCCTCGACGGTGCCAGTTTCGACCCAGGACCGATCTGGGCACCCCCCCTGGTTGAGGACTCCATTCACTTCAGCAGCCATGTGTTCTGAGCACTCGCCAAGTTGTTCAGTGCACCCGTTTCCATAGACCCCTCTTGTCACTCCCTGAGTTCCTGGACTTTTACTTTTTGGGAAGACCATTGTAGGGTAAACAAAACGTGTGTTGTGTGTTTTCTTTTGGCTCATCCACTCAGGAAGCTAGTCTTAGTTTCCGATATGTAGTGTTTCTGTTTCTTTTTGTTTCCACTTTTTCGTTTTCGGCACTTGATGAAAGCGAACAACCGAGGACACACGTTTCACGATTTTCAATGGCTACGCTTGGCAGGCGTGAGTTGTGAGAGCTTCCGACCCTGCATTGCAATGCCCCTCCGCATGCGGAGAGGTGTAGATCTTTTTTGCGAGGCGCCTGTGGCAGAGGGAACGGACCCACACTTTGTATTCACACTTGACTCCAGGAGCCGTTTTCTGTGAATTGGGTGAGATGCCGAAGCTGTTTAGCCTTGGATTTGTGCATGCTGATTCCACAACAATTGGTGGGGCATTGCAGCTTCGGCAAGAGGAGACAGCAAGCTCTGATAAGACTGTTCATGCTCAACTTTTCTCAGAGATCACTCTTTGAGGCACGGGCCTGTCCAGCGACAGTGACCATAACAATGGTGTGTAGCAGCAACAGCAACTCAACATCAATGACAGTAGCAGCATTAACAACAAAAGCAGGAGCACCAGCTCCAGCTCCAGCTCCAGCAGCAGCAGCACCAGCACCAGCATCAGCAGGCATTATCGAGAAGGGTTCGACATCAGACATTACAGGGTGAACATGCTCTACCGGTTTCGAGGGCCAGCAACGCGCAGTTGTTCAGTGGAGTGTTTGTTTCTTTGTGTTGCAGTCCCCGGCTGAAAACGGACAAATCCCAAAGGGCTCCCTTTTTCCATGGCCACTGAGTAGCCTATTTCAGTGGTTGAACTTTTTGCGAGTTTAAGAGGTGTCTTGCACGGACTGACGATATCACGCTTAGTTTTCTGATCGTCTCGGCAGGACATGGGAGCTACCCAAACTGGGCCTCTTGAGTTGTTTGAACGGCAGGATTGCTTGAACTTGTTGTATGAGCTGATCACAATGTATTACTAATAGCCCACCTCTCATTTCGACGGGACATGGGGACTGACTAATTGTACCATCAAACACGTTAGGAAGGCTTGTCCCATGTCGCTCCGGCGAATGAATGATCTTGTCGAAGTCTTGTGATGGCTTTTTGTAATATAGGAGGAGACCAGCAATTGTTTTTTACCTACAGGATTTGCACTGTCTTGCTCCTTGGTTGTCCAGATCTCTCGCCACAGGGCCTCACATTGCACCGGTGCCATTTAAGCCATCGCTTTCACGGGCGAAACGCAGAGAGTGCGTCAACATCTAGACAGGGACCAGCAAGCAAGCCGGTCCCAGCTTGTATCGCATGAAGTCATGTAGCATCTCATAACCATCCGCTAGAGCCTATTCAGGGTCACCCCACGAGCAATCATTGCGAGTGGTATTGTTCTTTAGTATCTATAGCTGTTGGTTGAAGCGTTCAACTCGCTCATTCTACAGAACTGCTGCTGTCTAACACTCTTTGTCGTAAGCTCTGGATGGCTGCGTGTGACACCATGCAGGGCGGATCCCCTGAGATGCCGAGCGATGGCAAAGACGGTCGTAGGAAGAAGCTACTCCACGTATTCCCACCGCGGCCCTTGTTCATCTCCATCAAAGGGGGCGGGTATTAAGTATCACCGCCAGCCCAACGTGTGTTGCTCTTGGCGTGATGTTTGAAGAGTATATAAGTTGTTCCCGCTAACCGTATATACTGCCCCCAAACGTAATTGCTCTTGTTTCATATCTCCGCGTTGACCAAGCTCCATTTTGGTCTGAAATTAGTTTCACTTGCCTTCCTCTTAAAGAAAGGAGACCAAGTGGGACAAGCCCTTTGTCAAATGTGTTTCTCCGTCACTGGGCAACTGGGTGTAGGGTGGGCCCATCGAGGATCCGTCTTGTCTACAGTAGGAGTGCGCTGAGAAAGTTTACTCGTTGCCCGCATTTCGGGGCCTTCGGGCCTTCGGACCACGGGCAACTTGGAAGGGGCTGATGCTTCAAGCCTCAGAATAAATGTGTTTAACAAGTTGTTCTTAGCTTTGGATGTACCGCAATGCACTGTGTCAGCGGCCCTTGTTGGCGATCCCATCACTTGTTTTCGTCCCTAGCAGAGCAGTGGATTTGTTTGTGGTTCAACTGGGGAAAGGGTAGCCACTGATTCCCAGGCAAGGCGATCTGTTGACCTGTTGGACTGGCTGTGTTCCATCTGTTGGCTGTGATCCATCTTTGAATCACGGCTCAGAAGGTTGCCCTTTGCTCTCAGCTACTCAGCAAGTGGGGAACCCAGACAGGCAGAGACAAAAGCAGCTGTTTCTCAAACAGAGCAGCCCAGTTTTGGATGGGTTTGGTTGGAAACCAAAGGACACCAATTAACAACCACTCATTTTGTAAAGCACCCAAACACACCATTTATCCGAAGTTCTATCAACTTTGGTTACTCCGGCTCGACCTACCTTGGAGCTGTTTGGAAGTTGACCGTGTATCCACTCAGAACACAGTTGGCTTTTCGACATGGAACAACTCGGGGTGTTGTTCTGAAAATTGGGCGCAAGGCCTGGCCTGTACACCCCAATACTTTTGTTGCCAAAAGGACACATTGTTTCTGGGATGCAGCAATGTACTCTCCCGTCAGACGGCTAGCTTAATTGTTTCGCCCTGTCCAGCATGGATGCCTCAATATCAATCATGAGCCCTTCAAGTGATAGACAGCCCATGGGGCAGCCACGATGTGCCACAACTGCCAGCTTTGGCCCCGAATTTCAGGCGCAGGTTGGGGAAGGGTTGCTATGGTCACATCCAGTGATCGCGAGAGAGCGCAAAGCGGAGCAGACGCTTGGAAAAAGTGATGCCGGCGGTTCAGTGCCAGGCGACACTTGGACACTTGGGTGCAGATAATTCCTTCTCTGGTTGCTTGAATGGGAACCGCATGCCCACTTGGACGGAAGTCAAGAGCGACATGGGACTCTCAACCTTAGTTTGGCACCGCCGCGTCGTGATGTTTTGAAGGCACAGACACTCAAGGACCTTTCTGGGATCCTTAAGTTGCCTCGGCAGCTGTGAGCTTGTTTGTGGAAAGTGGGTCGTGCCGATCCAGCAGCGGCAGTCGTTTGTCGGGTATTGTATCGATTCCGCATTTGTGGCTGGCCCTTTCGATTACATGAATTCGCCCTGGTACATCAGGCTCCCTTCCTGCAATTTGAATGGCACTCACCTGAACCCAGCTCCCCTGAAAGTGCATTTTGTTATAAGAATTGGCGCAACGGAGAACTTGAGGCAAGGTCAGACAAGTTCAAGGCCATGTTGTGCCACTGGTGTCAACAGGCTTGGGCTCATTAAGCGATAACGGTTACCGCTGCTTTCAGCTTGAGCCTTCGGCTCGCGGCAGTTTCTGCTACCGAGACTTGGGCTGAAAACGCCGCGGACGGGCTGTGGGCACTGGCAAATCACTCTCAACCCAACACCTTATGACGCCTTATGAGTTGCTAAGCCAAATCTTCACAGGGAGGATTTTTGTGTGCAAGCCGCGTTTGGGTTATTGGTGGAGGGTGAAGGCAATGCTAATGTCCCCAACTGATACCAGCCTCAGGAACCCATGGCAAGGGAGAGGACCGACGTGGAGGAAGGAGAGCGACCCATGCAAGGCATCGGCGCGGCCCAGGCGCCCTTCGCTCGGGTTCGGATGTCTCATGGGTGTGTTTACCAGTTGACCATGAAGTTTAATAGGGAACCACCTCAAGTTGTGGACATAGATTACCTCAATGATGTAGGGTCAATGTGTAAGTCACAGGCGAGCCTCCAAGAATTGGTGGTTGTCCTTTTGGTTCCCTTCAAACCAAGATGGAAAGGGTACCCTCGAACACATACACACGCATGTTTGTTGACTGGATCCGAAAAGAGAGGACCATCCAGGAGCGTTGATAAGGAAACCAAAGGATAACCAAACTTGTACATGGGAACCGTTGTGTGAGGCTGGGATGATATTTTGTTTCGTCCAACAAGGGCCACAAGGGTGTTGGAAATATTGGTTTATTTGTGCTAGGGTTTTTCTGAAGAGCTGGAAGCTTGGGGTCTCTGCCCGGGGCTCCGGAGTGGTTCGGAGTGGCTCAGGGCTAGCCTAGCATCCGGGCTGCTGGTTTAATATGTTCTTTTTTTCACAAGAGGGGTTCTAACCAACCAATCAAAGGGCAATTCCCCTTCTCAGGCCTCGTTTATGGTGTTCTTTGATTCCTTGTGGGGGTTGCAGGTGTTTGCCAAGGGACCTGGATGGCCCAGTCTCACTTACTAGCTCTCGGGCACTTTCTGGTCTTTTCTGGGATAGAAACAGAGAGGGTCCAGGAGTGATGGTAGCAGAACCGACAGACAACTAAACATTTGCATGGCAACTTTATTCAATTTGAAGACATGCCTGATTTTGCGTCAGGTTCTTATGCGGAGCTGAAGCTGCCAGACCCCGCACTGGGGACATTTATTTTGGGCGATGTCCATGCTAGCTCGTTTTGTCAATCTATTTTGAAAGCCAATGGGGGGCTGACGACCAAAGTGGCAGCATTTTCCGAAGTGCACCCATGTGGGATGGGCCCGGATATTGGACGCTGAGTGTTCAACTGCTGCTGTCTAGCGCCATAGATTTGAAATGTTGACCTCCCGTTGGATATCGATGACCATATCCATGGCCGTATCCAATTCTGGCTTCCATCGGGTCTTGATAGTGAGTTTCCCGCCGCTTGGAACCCAGGTTTAGGTTGCAGGTATTGCTGGTTAATCACCATCGTGTGGTAGCCATGGTCAAATTGACCCAACTACAAAAATACTTCCACTTTCGTTGGGGGCGAAGGCCCAAAATGGCTGGCTTGCTCTTCGCAGAAGGAAACACGAGCTGGCCTCACCCAAAAGCCACACCATGCTTTGCTAAATAAACAACTGGTCCGGGTGGGCGTTTCTTTACTTTCAGACCCACCCAAATTGATGCTCACATGTTTAGCCCTTTGGCTCTCCTTTAGGCCCAGCCCCCAACTCAGAACGCCCCTGTCCCTCATGCAATCCACGGCGCAGGAGAAGGGAGCCGTCAGCCTGGAACTTGGTTTTGTCAGACGTGAGCGGCGCTGAGTGGTTGGGTCGCCAGCTCCAGCGGCTGAATCCATCCCCACTTAGGCAATTGATGCAAGCGATTTCGCCCCACCAAAGGGCCAACGGGGAGTTGGCGGGCCGCGTGTTCCCAGTTAGGGATAGAGATTCACTGATTCCCACTCGTTGTTCAGTGAGCGGCACTGTTTGCGTGTTGAGCTTAGGCGCACCCTTGAAATGGTTGGC